AATTTATTGAATTTTTCGAAAATGGATTATTTGATAAAAATAAAAAATCTATTAGTCTTTTTTCTTTAAAATCTTTGATGCTAGGACTGATTAAGGTTATTCGTCACAAAGAGGGTGATGCAATCGACTTTATTCCAAACATCAAAGGATATTTTTCATCATCTATAGAGAATAGCAAACAAAACTCATTGACACTATTAAAGATCAAAGGCGAAACATTTAGTGACCTCTTATTTGACTTACATGGAACATTAAAATAATTACCTACTATCGACATAAAGAATATAGACATTCTACTTTTTTCAATCAACTTTAAATCGAAAAAATTTAGACATAATATTTATTTGAAAAATTCATTGTTAATATATTTTTTTTAAGATGGAAGCTATTTATATTCAAGTACTGACGATTATTATTTATAAAATACATATAAATAAAATACAAATGGATAATTAATTTTAATTTAAAATAATTTTCTTTCAGAATCCAATGCGCAAAATATAAATGGTTCAACAAGAAATGAAATATTAAAACAAAATCTGAAAGCACCCGCTGCTGAAATGTATGGTAACATCGAAAAAGTCATGACATCAAAAATCCATTCCTTACAATTCACTTTGAAAGATAAATATAAAGAAATTTCTAGGTTAAATTAATTATTGAATTAATATAAATTTCATATTTTTTAATAACTTTAGTAATAACAATTATAAATAAATGTAAAATATATAATTTTTTATGATAAATTGAAGCTTCTGTGTTATTAAATAGCATTATAAATTTTTTACAAAATACATATAAATAGAAAAATCCACTTAAAGTTATAGTTTTGTAAAACAACTTAAAAACATTATTAATTGTTTATAACAATTAATTTTTTATTAATTGTGTGTTTTGTTATTACAAAAGTTGTTAAAAAATATGAAATTGATATTAATTTTTAGTATTTTAATAAGTCTTATTATTAAATATATTTTTCAAGAAATAAACATTACTCGGAAACAAAAAATAAAAGTTTAAATACAAAATTTTTTCTGTGATTGTTGATAACAAATAAAAAACATGTTATTATTAATTTCGTATTGCTGAAAAATAATTGGGAAACTTTCTTAACTAATTACTTTCGTTTATCAATAAATATTGTAAATTTTACCAAAATTATCCCTTAAAAAAAAAAATATTTTTTATAATTTTCATTAACAAATAACGAAATTTCAGATATTATTTATTAAAAATCGACCTCAAGAAATCGATGCGCAATTTAATAGGCTTTAATTTTAAAAATTAATCTATTAAATTTTAATAAAAATTGAAACCCCAAAATACTTCGTAGCAAAAAATGGAATCATAATTTACCAGAAAAAATACTAAATTAGGCGGAGAAATTAATTTTATTTCTATTTGTTTATAACAAAAATTTTTTTTTAATAATTTGATGCTTAAAAATTGTTTAACCCCGGGCGCATGATTATTCCCCAAATGTCATTTTTCCGAAATGTCATTTTACCGAACTGCACTTTTGCGAATACTCATTTTTGCGAAAAGCCAATTTTGCGAAATGTCACTTTTGCGAATTGTCATTTTTTCGAAAAGCTATTTTTGCGAATTGTCATTTTTGCGAATCGATATTTTTACGAATTGTCAATTTTCCGAAAAGTCATTTTTGCGAATCGCCATTTTTACGAATTGTCATTTTTTTGAAAAGTCAGTTTTGCGGATTGTCATTTTTACGAAAAGACATTTTTGTGAAATGTCATTTTTGCGAAAAGCCATTTTTACGATTTGTCAATTTTTCAAAAAGTCATTTTTGCGAATTGTCATTTTTGAGAAATGTCATTTTTGCGAAAAGTTATTTTTACGAATTGTCATGTTTGCGAATCGCCATTTTTACGAATTGTCAATTTTCCGAAAAGTCATTTTTGCGAATCGCCATTTTTACGAATTGTCAATTTTTCGAAAAGTCATTTTTGCGAATTGTCATTTTTGCAAAAATTCCTATAGTGAATCTATATATGGATACAAGTTTACTATAGGAATTTTCGCAAAAATGACAATTCGCAAAAATGACTTTTCGAAAAATTGACAATTCGTAAAAATGGCGATTCGCAAAAATGACTTTTCGGAAAATTGACAATTCGTAAAAATGGCGATTCGCAAAAATGACATTTCTCAAAAATGACAATTCGCAAAAGTAGCAATTCGTAAAAATGACTTTTCGCAAAAATGGCTTTTTGCAAAAATGACATTTCACAAGAATGTCTTTTCGTAAAAATGACAATTCGCAAAAATGACTTTTTGAAAAATTGACAAATCGTAAAAATGGCGATTCGCAAAAATGACTTTTCGGAAAATTGACAATTCGTAAAAATAGCCATTCGCAAAAATGACAATTCGCAAAAATAGCTTTTCGCAAAAATGACAATTCGCGAAAGTGACATTTCGCAAAATTGGCTTTTCGCAAAAATGACTGTTCGCAAAAGTGCAGTTCGGTAAAATGACATTTCGGAAATATGACATTTGGGGAATAATCATGCGTCCCGTTTAACCCTTGTAGTCACGCAATTAGGATAATAGACAAAATATTACAAACGCTATTGTAAATGAGGTTTTTGGGATCGCTAAATACGAATCTGGGGTCAGATTTGCAAAATTTAAAAAATTCAAAATGGCGGATTTAATATGGCGGACGAATTTTTAAAAATTAAACGGATTTACTTAAAACTTGTTACTCGAGGGTTTATGGGATCGCTGATTACGAATCTGCTATTAGTTTTTAAAAATTCAAAATGGCGGATCCAATATGGCGGACGAATTTTAAAAAATTTAACGGATACACTTGAAACTTGTTACTTGGGTATTATTGGGGTCGCTGATAACGAATCTGGTATTAGTTTTTAAAAATTAAAAATGGAGGATGCAATATGGCCATATTGGGTTCGCCATTTTGAATTTTGAAAAACCGATGACGGATTCGTAATCAACGACTCGAGTAGTAATTTTAAAGAGGATTATGTGATTAATTTTGTATATCGTGAAAATTTAAGGTTATTATTGTCGACAATGCCCAATAATCGATAATGACCGTAACATCTACTTAAAAATAAGTGGAAACTTCGCTACTAAACCAAGAAGAATTACAATAAATATCACCTTATTTTTTTATCATAAAATTAATTAATGATCTTTGGTGGACTCCAGATTAGACATAAATAAAGAAAAAAGAATTTACCAACGACAATTATTTAGTGTGCATTACATCATCGCTAATTTCCAATCAAGAAATTGTATTGCAAGGGAACGTATATTAAAAAAAAGTTCGAAGACTTAAATTATGTAAAAAAAAAGTTTACTGGATTATTGCATGTAACAATTTTCTTTTCTCAGTGGCAATCGTAAGAATTAATCGCCATAGAAAAGAAGTAATGACCGTTTCCCAAGCCGTTAGTCGCACACGATAAAAAGCTGCGGCCTGCTTCATATATATAAACGCTGGCATGTCAAACGAAAAGGCGAATGTAAACGACATTTTCCCGGGAAAACGCGAGAGACCCTTGTATACTAGCTAAATCGTATATATACTCAACTGAAAATAGCGGCAATACTCTTGAGTGCCTCGAATGGTAGCCTAGGGGCTGCTGAGGGGCCAGGGGGTTGAAAAGGACCAAGGATTTGCTTTCAGAAGGGAACGATCGCGAAGATACCGTACACGAATATTCAGGGGATCCTTTCACACCAACGTAAATCCCTCGACAAAAAAAAAATTTACAAAAAAAAACCAAAGAAGAAACTCTAGTGATAAAAATAAATCGTAAGTCTACCTAAAGCTGTAAAACATAAAGAAATCTCTTTTGACAAAACAATTTTTATTTATGAATGTCAATTATTAAAAATACAACGCAAGGGATTTTTCTCTATTAGATTATGAATTCTTATCTAAATTTCCTGGAGGACTGAAAGAATACGTTAACAAAAAATAATGGTAAACAAGATTAACAATAGATTTACTGATGACATAGTGGGAAAATGAAAACGAAGAGTGATGGAAGTTTTTGGAGAAAAATTGTATAAGTGTGAAGGTTAAATGAACCCTATGAGCAACCCTATGATAAAATTTGCCTAGGACATAAGTTATGGACCACGTGAAGGGCTCCGAGTCAGGACAACACGACGCTGAACCCAGAGGGTTAGAAAACCACCCCTCTAGATCAATAATACCACCCTGTTAAAGACGCATGCGTCACCATTCCCTACTCTCACGTTTTCTCCCACCGTATTTGCGGCTTGACGGTTTCCACCCCCGCGAACTTGGATGCTACGTTCACCCTCTCTACCATGCAACATTCATAGCGCCATCAATATTATACGCGAGAAATAATAACCTGTGCATTTATTATGAGAAGGGTGGCGGAATGTAGCTTCTCGTGAATAGATATTGAAACTAGAGGGGGTTCCTGATTAAATTGAACGTATAAATGTCCTATGCAAATCTGTCGGGAAAATATTATTGATGACATTGCCGATGACAGAATCTACTTTGGAATAATTGATTACAAAATTATTCACGTTTGTCGATTTTCTTTGAACCTCTTTCTATTTTTTATTCAATTCTTTGGTCTATTTTACGATGGCGATATTTTCTTCAAATAGCTTAAAGACTTCTGTTCAAAAAAATTTTTTATACGTGGTAGATTATATTTAAATCCCTTATCCTAAGATAGCAATTATTAAAAATATTTAAACTGCTTACTGGATAATTATCAATTCCAGCGTCATATATTACAATAACATCTGTTGACGTCTCCCTCCCTTCTAAATGTTTCTTGTCAACTAGTTTGTAAGTGACTACCTGAATGATCTGCGTTACATGCCACGCGCATCATACTAACATAACATCTCCGTTCTCTCCTTCCCTCTGCTTTCGAATCTCACCTAATGTATGCACGATACTTGTAAGATTAAAAACATATACAAAACAGATAATATCTTGCATCTAATCAGCGTAGAAGGTCTGTCGATTTTATTTATATTAAAAGTTGTATCGACTAGAAAATCCGGTTTTATTCGTTGCCAGTTGATTTTTAAACGTCGACGAGTGTAGACTACAAATAATCTGATATAAAAAGAAAGAATCAATGAATTCATTGTTTTTTGTTAAAGTTAAAATTGTTAATTAGAGAAATTAATTTTTCCCTGGTAAGTACTACGTCCTTAATACAATATTCATCAGAAGATAGATGTTTGTAAACGAAAGATACTTTTTAAAATAGTTCGGTATGTGTATTATGAAAGATAATTAATTTTTGATTACCTGGAGCAATTTTTTAAACTTTATCAATTTTGGTAAATATTTCAGGAACAAATTCAACTTTTATTTGCAACAACAGAAATGTAAAAAATAACTGTTCGTGATTAAGAATGTAGGAAAACTAGAAAACAAGTATTGACTTTCAAAAGTTCAATTAGATATGAAGTAAAAGGTCAAGATCATCTTTAGACGAACTCTATTGAATAACTATCCAAATAAACATCGAACATTTATAAAACCAAAAGTCATAATTTCTCAAATTTTAAAGATTCCAACATTTTTAGAAAAAATTAAAGAATTAAACGACTATGTCAAGTCACGTTAGAAAAATAATTGCCAACAAGGAGACGAGAGATTACTTCATGAGGTAATTAATCATCATCCACAAAATTATTCCTCTCTCTAATTTAAATATATTCAAAATAAATATTTAAAACAACTTTTAATTTTTTACTAATTAGACAGAAAGAAAAACTAAATAGTTAATTGATTTTTACCAAAAATTGCAGCACCCACTTTTGGGGACCTGTTTTCAACTGGATGATTCCAATTTCGACCATTGGTGACATTCAAAGGGATCCAAAATTCATAAGTGGAAAGATGACATTAGGTAAAAATTAAATACCGTTTTTGAAAAATTTTCTTTTAAGTTAATCAAATATTTTTTTGATATTTTAGCACTATCTTGTTATTCAATGGCATTCATGAGGTTTTCCATTAAAGTGAAACCTAGAAATTTATTACTTTTTTCATGTCATATCGCTAATTTTGGAGCTCAATTAACTCAAGGATATCGATTTCTAAAATATCAACGAACCTTGAAACAACAAAAAACATTTGGGTGCTGAATATTCTTAACTTACAGTCATCAAGGTTAATCAACTTTAAGTGTCATTATAGTTGTTATTCATTAAATAAGTGTTAATCAATTAATCAAAGTCACATCGAATAAGAAAATAGAAATAATTCTTCTTTTAATGCTTCTTATTCCGCAATTTCTGACAATTATTTTTTTGATTAAAATAAATTATAATTAATTCTTATTAGATAAAAAGAATTTCGATCGAATAAAGACTCGGAAAATAAAAATTGGAGACTTTTCATGCGCCTCATTATTTTTAAGATTTCTATTCTATAAAAATTAGATTTAATTTTAATTGAAAATACAGATCTTTTGACGAAGCTGACGAATATAAAATTTATAATATTATTTAATATTCGTTTAATATTGATAAATTAATAATTATAATAGTACAGTATTGGTTACGGTGTAAAGTGTTACATTATAAAAGAATTTCTAAAACACAATTCTCCCATTAACATTTGAAAAACTTTTGTTATAAAAAAAAAACAGTCAAGTGCATATTTTTCTGGAAAAAAATATAATTCCTCTTCCATACCCTATTGAATGTTCCGAGTCAGTAATTCTTTTTTAGAACAAGTCATGCCGAGGAGAAATTTCTCTCTTTTTTTTATTTCCATCTGATTCAGTCTCACACGAATCGAGAGTAGAGAATTATTCGTTCAACCCCACGTTCAAATCGACGAATATATAAGAAGAGCAATAATTCCTTCTGCGGATCTAAGGGGGGTCTATACGATACTGCTCATAGGGATGGTGAAACTGGCCTAGGGTCACTTTATGGGCTCTCTCTCTCTCATGGTTCTAACTCCAACATACAAATCCATCGATGCCAAGTCACAGTCACATTTTTCCGAATTCTAAGCCAAAACCAACCTACCACTTCTTTTGCCCCCTTTTGATTCTCCATAAAAACTTCTATTCCCCTTTGAATAAATATATATGGCCTTATTAACCCTGCTTGCCTTCGATTATGCCCTTTTCCCTGTTTTTGCATTTTTTTTTCTTATCAAATCACCAAAGTGTGACGTCACAGTGGAAATTTATCGCGATTGGAATCAATTTAGTTTTGCAAAAATATTTAAATTGTGTGTGATAAATTTTATTGTAATACGTGATCGATTATATTTAACTTCCTTTTTTCATATTGAGATGATTCAAATATTGAACTAGGACTGAATATGAGAAATATTTTGAATATTGAAGTCTATTGGATGCAAAAGGATGCGATGCAAGGGAGGGATAGGTCCAGTGGGACTGATTTCACAAACAAATGCCGACAATTGAATCCTGGCAAGTCGCAAGATGGATCGCTCTCTTTGAATCACAGATAACCTGACTTGCCTTCGTTCGATCCTCTCACCACTCACCAATTCCTTTCCTTTTATTTTTTTTCCTTTCGTACAGCAACCAAACAATTTGCCACATGCCTACACCCATTTTATCCGCTAACCAAATCGTTCGTCAATTGAAAAATTAGTTTGAAAAAAAATTGTATCACACATTTAATCAGTTTCTTAATTAGAATTAATTTAATTTTTAAATTGCAAATTTTAAAAATTGTTCCAAATAAATAAGAAAGTATTTTTGACATTTTCTTCTTCTTTTTACATCTAAGAAAAGAGTTTATTTTTCTAGGGAAATAGAATGTAAAAAATGATAAGCGAAACGAAAACATGAAAATGACATAAATTCCAGAAGAACACTCTGACTGGGGTGAATTTCCACAAGAATAAGAAAAGAACTGGAGAATTAAGTGAACTGTAAAGCGGAATGCTTGGATTATAAACCAACCCCACTGACAAAAAATTTCTGTCGGATTGAGTCTCGACCCCTCAAAACAGCGACGACGAACCTTTACTTCTCGACAGCCTTTAAATTAAGTGTAGAAGCTTATAACGCCCATGTAAAGTCTTCAAACGGATTTTACTCATGAAAAGAAAATGTGAAAGATCTTGAAATGCGTAGCAAATCTAGAATTACTAAATCCAAAGGGATGAAAAATGATTCCCGATCCACCAACCAATGTACAGTTCATAATTTAAAAAACTATTTCTCAGCAGTAGAGAGAAAATATTTTTCCAGTTTGTGAAATTTTTATTACTTAAAACAGAAGTGATGGTTAATTAACCATCAAGTTAATTATACTGTAATAATTATAGACCTAATATTATTAAATTATCCCAATAAAAAACATATTTGAAAAAATTATTGTGATTAGCATTTACGATTTATGAATTCTAGGAACATTTGTTACTAAAATTAATTTATAAAAAAACTTATCTTTAGGTATCGTTGTTTCATACCAAAAGTAAACATTCTAGAGATCGCAAGGGATTGACTTATGAACGTGGCCATTACTCGAACAAAATAACATGTAACGACCCCTTTTCTACCTCCCAACCAGAAACGTACTTACTGATGGTGAATTCATAAAAAAGATCTCGAGTCACCCCTCTAAAAAAACATGGCAACCAGTTCGTCACACACCACACTGGTATTAAAGCGGTCCATTAAAATAAAAATGGACTCCTATTATTTTTCACTATCGATTTAATTATCACCATGATATGAATATTAAATACGATGCATTTTTAAACCAAGAAAATTGTTATTTTTTAACTAATCTACTCTGCAAGAACAAAAAACTTTCAGTCTGCCTCGGTTGGAAAATAATTTTCTACCACTGTCAATTGATTTCCCTTTTTAAGGCTAACATCTTAAATTACTAAAATAACTAATTCAGAGAAAGACTATTTCCATCATCTTCATTTTTAGTCAAGCAGGTTGGGTCATTTGGATGCGACGTAACGTCCAAGGGAGTGCCAACATAGATGGCAACATAATCCCTGATCGAGGGCTACACGTTTGGGGTTGGAGATGTGTTGGGGATGTCTTATCTTCATATTACACACACTCAACGCGGTTCTCAACTTTCGGATCAAAAATCCATCAAATTATGTTTCACACTAAACCTTAATTCAATTTAACGACAATATTTATCAATTTTCCTCTTCCGCATTTAATGGGTTTATTTATTTTTATTTATAAAATTACGAACGTAACTGTGGATTTTCTAATACGGAAATTGCTATGTTATGTCTCAGTACGAAACCAACGAAGGCTCTGATATTAAGGGACAGGTTTTAAGAAAGATTAACTGTTAAATTGCAATTAAATTATTAAAGTTTTTATTTGAATCCTTTACAATTAGAATCAGAGAGAAAAAAGTAGATTCTGATGTCTTCACGAACACTGGAACAAAATTAGAATTTTGCGGAATCAGTCGAGAATTTAAATGAGGATAACATAATTATTAGAGTCGTAGACCCAACAAACGATACCTCCTAGCGGAAACAGAGAATGCAGTAGATTTCCCTCAAATTGTTTTCGAGTCAGCAAAAGTGAAAGGTCCAGAGTCCAGATGTCGATGTAAATGAAGTAAAACACACATCAGCCAAAGAGAGACCGAATTATTGATTTGACGTCGATGTCGAAGTAATGCAGTCCTTAGAAAAATAGAAATGTGCCTCGCAGTAGAAATTATCTGCTTGAATGAATTTGACTATTTAGGACGAGACTCGAAGAAGGCACTTGGTACTTGAAGACGTTTTCTGAACTGGAGTCGAAGAATAAACTTGGTGACAGTACACAACTAGTTAACTTGGTCACGGTTGCTGGACTGACGCGAAGAAGATGCGAAGTTTATTCCGTGGTGGCTTCTGGACTAACTAACTTGAAGGCTATACCTGGACTGACTAATTCGGCTAGGGTAGCACCTTTTATAGGTTCCTTTGAATCTAATAAAAATTTTATTACATGTAAGTGGGGAACCAATAGAAGAATGACAAAATACAGATGACCATATTTGGCATCTGCTATCCAGACAAAGATTTCCGATAAATACTGCTATGATTAGAAGAAAATAAGGATTCGTCGCCATGACGTGACAAAAGTTTTGTTTATAGCCAGTTCCAGCGAAAAACAATATTTTTCTTCTAATGAAGAATTTTTATATGACCAGAGTGCAAACTGTAAAGAAAACTAACACTAATTGATTAAAATTAATTTCGAAGATGGTACCTGAATTTCACCCATAAAAGCCATAGTATAAAAATTAATGTTATTATATTTATGAACAATAATATGTTTTCTATAACTCTAGTACTAAATTTGATTTTACTTTAATGACCCAGGTGCGTTACGAGATGAGAAATAATTGAAGTTTCTTCTTTTGGTGAAAGCGATAAAAGAGGTGTTTCTGTAATTACACTGTAAGACGAATTATCGTAAGTGTATCTAGAGCAAGTTTCACACTCGTTATTCTCTTTTAGAGTTGGTATGATAGAAAAGTGGTGCAAGATCGCAATTCTATTACTTTAAAAGTGCACGATAAGCAGTAAACAACCCCCTGGAGTGCACACGCATCTGGAGTCTGGACATCGTGACAGAATCGTGCACACCCGCACCTTCTAGTCTTGGTCTCAATGACTGAAGATGCTTTATGACCCGTAACGTTCTATACTCCCCACTTGGACCCCAAAAAAACAGTTCTTGTCGACTCACACTCCCCTTTTTCCATTCGATTCATCCATACATTATTGTTTCTCACTTTCTTTTTTTTCGCCTCAAAAACCAGATTCGAAAAAAGTGAGGAACATGTTTTCTGCAAAATTGTCTAATAAAAAATTAATTTAATTTCTAAATTACTCCATCTAGATAAAAAATGTATTCCAGAAACGTTTGTGAGAGTAAATTTGAAACGTCGAGTCAAGAATAGAAAGCGGCTGAGAAATTTCCACTTTTGGAGATATGCAGCCTCTTTGCTGGATAGTTCATAGGGGTCAGCTTGAGGGTTGGGGGATTATGGGTGAGTGGGTGGTAAAGGCAGACGCTGGGGCTGGCAACTTTGAAGGATATTTTTTATTCATGTGACGTATTTGAGGGCGCGGAAAAAACACATTCTACCGATCGAGTCCCCGTGATGTCAGTAGACCCGTGGGGGGTTAGAATGGGTTCTATATAAGCATCCTGGGTTTGCCAATTTTAAAATGCCCTCGCTGAAAAACGAATCCACCATCTCGCGAATAATACATAAACCTTGGGAAAAGTCTTGTAACTGAGAAATAAACTCAGAGAAAACGCCCCTTGCCTTTTCTTTGATGCTTTTGATCGTTCGAATAAAACATAATTTTCCATCGGCTAAAATATAAA